TATCTTTACAACCAACTTCAAGCTTGAATTTTGTTGTGACGATGATACCTCGCTCTGATGATGTTCGTCACATGAAGGACGAAAACTTAGCACCTTTTCACCGGAATCGAAGGAGATTGCCTCGGAAACAGCGTCAGAATGAATCTTCCAGTAAAGCCGATCGACAGCTGGTCAAGAGGAATCCACCGTCGTCTTCTGGTGGAACCCTTCACCCAACACTTTCACTCGAAATGGAAGTAAGCTCAACAATTATGAAACAATTTCTGACCTTTATTTGTTCAAGTACAATATAATATTGTAGAGGTTTCCTCAATCTCGATACCAGATCTACCAATCGGCACTAATGCATAGCCCGAATTTCTTCTGTCTCATACAGTAGCCCACGAATTGTTCACTTTTCCCCTCCTTTCACACACGTGGCTCGCCTTCTCACCTTGTTGGTCTGTCAATCTATCGACTCTCTCGAAGCCTCTTGGCCAATTGTTTATCGCACTACTCGTTGTACTACTGTCACCAGCGCCGAGGCGAAGCAGGTCGAGTAGACATCATCCTATCCGCCTTCTCATCTGAAGAAGATGCAAAGTCGTCTTCCGACATTGGCGAATACGATCTGCCCTGTCCCCCAAGGTACCTTGTCTGTTTCATATTCGTTCCAATGTCCGTTCGGTTAAGCAAAGTCTCTGTCTCTCGAACCAGTTTTCACTGGTTGAGCTTGGGCAGAAGTCGGAATCTCACACGACCCAACCTTCATGAGGCGGTTTTACTTGGTATGGAGAAACCCTTTGTCCCACCGAGACTATGCACAAAAACACATGACGAGTCAAAAACACACTAATCACGAAACGCTTCCACAAGCTCCCTGAAATCATGACCAAGTTGATAAAATGGGGTCAGACCACTTCTATATAATATTTAAATAATTAATAATAAAGCGATAATGTATTATATATGTTTTTATTATCGCTTTATTATTAATTATGTAACTATTATATAGAAGTGGCGTGACCTCGTCTTCTCAACTTGGTCATGTTTTTAGGGAGATCCAGTTCGACGCATCTTGTCCGAGCTCGTCTGCTGTAATAGTGCTGATCAATTCCGGCTTATAGCCATGGACTTGGTACCTTCCCAGTTGCTTCGCCAGCATCGTCAGTTAGTCTTGCCAGACTACCACTTCGGCATGCTATTAGTTCATTGCATGAAACAGCGAATAAACTTTTCCAGAACAAATTTGGTGTCCTAATTATCTCATTGTGGGAAAATTCATTAGCTTCATCATTCCATAGATGGAGCTGTTATCTACAGAATATATTTCTGTTAGCATTGTTTGTGTGTCACTTTTCAACACCATGCCACAACTCGTCGAAGAGACTTGGTACATTCCCCGATGAGACCCACTCTTGGAAACCCAACTTTTCTTCTCACAAACAGCAAAATCCAGTCGCGAAAACAAGATCAGGCTACTTCCATACATAGAAAATAACCACCTTCATATCTATATAATATATACCTTATATATTAATATCATAATATTACATAATACTAACATAGATTAATTATATATATATATATATAATATGAAACTTTAATCTTCACAACCCAAACATCTTTTGCTATTACTTGTGTGCGTTAGTAGAACGCTTGCTGTGCCTATTTCTTGATGTTTGTAGCTGAGTAAACAAGGCCTCATTCCGATCCTCCACTATTCTCTTCTTACAAGAGATCAGCCTTTGGATCCGTTTTGCTCTCGCGTCAGCACGACATCGAGCCCCAAGCACTGTCTGATGTACGACAATGCCTTCGGGTCCTGCGACCTGAGGGCGTACAGCCGCAGTCTGCAGGACGAGTTCATTTACTTCACCAATATCGAGGGCGTCGCCGACAATCTGGTGCCCAGATATGGCGGCAGTTCGGCCCTGATGGACTTCTGTCCTGTCTATTTGGTAATTGCGAAGCGTATGCTTGTTTTTGTTTACCCATTTAGCTGACAATCCATAGACTGTATCTTCATCCCATCGCAATTTTTATTTAAGTATATATACTACTTGTGGATGCCTTATAAGTAGACTAATAATTAATTTGGCTTTCATTTGGAGAACGCTTCCGTATACCAGCTTCACACGGGAATGATCGATGTTTCTAAGAGCGCTGTAGCCAATTCATTTGACAGATGATCATTTTCAGCAGAAGAGTCGATGCACCAATGGTGAGAATGTTGTGGGAGGCCTGTCCTAGAAGAAACAATTACTCGAGATTCCACAGCATCGAAATATTGAGTAAAAAGGGATTCTCTCCAAAGAGAGAAAAAAGGAATTGAAATTGATGTGAGTCCTCAAGGTGGTCCTGGAAGATTACTATTGGTATGATAATAGTTCATAGAATAATACAGTAAATCAATATGTATAGAACCATGTTTAGGTCGTACTCATCTCATCTCATCCTACTGACATACTATACCTCACTTTGCGATCTTAATGAGGCATTGCACAATTTGGTTGGCTGAACTAGGCTAGTCCTACATGAATGTAAGTGCGTCAAAGTGATGTAGACAAGGAAGCGGATCTGGTCACAACTTTTGTCAATGTAAATAAACTCGAGTATGATCCAGTAGTCCTGGATCTTATCACAGCTGCGCGAATGCGTTTTTGCGTGTGTATGCAACAACTCCGAATTAGTTGACCATTCTATCTTCAAAAACAAGTTCCAGCTTAATCTAGTCTTCTTCTCTTATCTTATTCAGTAGCTCTCCCTGGTCCCTTTCCTTCTCTCTCTCTCTCTATCTTATTCTCTCCCTCTTTCTATTTAGAAGCCATAGAAAGCTCTTTGGTAGTTTCCTACTTTCGTTCCTCTTATTCGGGATGTAGTTTGTTTTGTTAATTTCAATCGACTCCCTGATCTTCTAGTTAACTGTGAATTCCCCATATCCGGCAAAATGGTATCCTGTAGCGACCACATGTTCAGCCTTTGCAGATGGTTCTCTGTTCTGATAGCCTCTCGTGTATGGGTCGACGTGTATCCCCCACATAAACATTACCACATGAACACAAAACCTTAAAACAACCTGATTTGCACGGGGCGTGGGAAGATTTTCTAAGAGAAGGCATGATGGAAGAAAGCGTTATCTTGACACTCAATTTCTTCAAAAATTTGCCTAACTCATCATTATCGTTAATTTCATTACGCCTACCTTGACACCATAAGTATGCTTCGAGGACAAATTGAGAAGGAAGCCATCATTTGTGTATTTCATACCCACATCCCTATCCAGTTTGCTTTCTTCTTTACCGACTAAGACAGCTAAAAAGGGTAACTTATTATACTTTTCTAACTCCATCATGAATTTGGTTGCCTTATCTACTCTATTCATCTCATGACAACTTCAGGCGTTTTAAATTTGCCTCTTCTCTTTATGAACTTCCTCACATATGACCTTGCTTGGCTCTGCGTTGTATCTTGAAGCTTTGAGTAAAATCTCATATATCCCAAAATCTTAATGTTCTATTATTCATGCCTGCGTTATCAAATTTCACACTGGAATCTCAAATTAGGCGGAGATTTTTTCTGATTTTTTCTTGATCACGTCATGCATTTGAACGCTGCCTACTTCTCTTAACGAAACGCCCCACAAATAATTTTGCTTTGCTCTGAGTTGTCCCAGAGAGCATTGAGTGAAAGAGCAAGATACTCGTGATATCGGTGCTAAATAATGATTGACTATTCGGACAACGTAAAAGTGATACAGATTTACTCTGCAATAAACAGATGTATTCCAATTTATTTCTTAAAATGTTCAGGCGTTATAACGTCATTCATTCCTCTTTACGACATTCTTGGATGTGAGCTGTGTTTTGAGGCCTCGAGTAAACGGTAACATTCACATGATCAGGATCTTCCAAAGTGAATGCCCGATTGCTTAATCCTTATGCTAGAGATTGGAATTAAGTTTAGATTTATTCGGTGGTATGCCGATTTCTGGCCAGGTTTTTCGTGATCGCTGCAGTCATTGTAATGCCTCACAATCCTCCTTCAAAAAGTCCCCATGAGCAATTTTATTCGGCTCTGAGCTATGTTTGATTGCTTGAATAGCAGTTCACATTCCCCATGGTCTTGGTGTTCTAGCATGAATTCCTTCTCTCTCTCTCTATCTTATTCTCTCCCTCTTTCTATTTAGAAGCCATAGAAAGCTCTTTGGTAGTTTCC